CAGGAGGAGAGTGTCCCTCCTTCCCCGGCAGAGCATCTGGTGGATTTGAACCATGCGCCTCTGGGATTGTAGTTGCAGCTCCTTGCCACTAGGCCACCAGAGCTCCCCTAGGAGTTTTTAAATAAGATACTTTCTCCTCAAATTATTTCTTTTAAAAGTTTTTTCTTTCTAATTATTTACTACTCCAGTGTAACAGAAAAAAAACATTCTGAGTAATATGGCCATACTTTTAAAACTTTATATTACTAATATATATATATTTCTCACTAATAAATATACACACACACACACATACATATACATACATATTTTTGTGTACTGTAGAGTTGGAACTGACCTGTAGCTTACCCTCCAGTGGGTTTTCTGAGGCACATCTGATTGTCCATCCTTCTCCCGAGGAGCAACTGACCTCAAACTGTGTGTCTTCAGGACTGTAGCACAGCTTCTTGCCACTAGGCCACCAGAACTCTGTGTGTGTGTGTGTATGTTGTTGTTGTTATATGCCATTGAGTCCATCTGCAATTCATAGTGACCCTATGTGCAGCAGCTCTGAAGCCTGCCCTGTCCTGAGCCAGACTCACTAACTTGAGCATATCTACCCCCGCTGTCCTGGTTACTGTATCAGTCCATCTCATCTGGGTTCTTCCTCTTCTGCAGTGTCCCTCCACTCTTCCAGTCATCATGTCCTTCTCCAGTGTCTGTTCCCCCTTTGCTGTGTGCCCACAGTATGAGACAGAGCTTCAAAATCCTGGCCTCCAAAGAGAAACTTGGTTTCACCTTCTCTATGACAGACCTATTTGTGTGTGTGTGTGTGTGTGTGTGTGTATGGAATAGAATATTGAACAGAATAGAATAATAATAGAATAGAATAAATATAAAGAAGTAAATCTTCAATATAGTTTTGACTTCTAGGAATGTGCTTTACACAGTATGTTGTTTTTGTGGATCTTCTACTCAGAGCTGACCCCTAACTGACCCTCCAGTGGGTTTTTAGACCTAGTTATTCACATAAGAGGAGATTGCCCATCCTCCTCCCGCAGAGCAGCTGGCAGCTGGTGGATTTGAACTTTATTCCTTTGGAATTTCAGTGCACCTGCTGTCCACTAGGCTACCATCACTCCCCTTTTAGACAGTATAGTAAATAATAATGTATAGAAATGATAGTTATGATATATCTATATAATAGAGTAAAATATCTCTTCCCCTAAATAATATTATACCTTCCTTTATTGACACAGGCTTTTCTAAAATACACTGTTAATTGAGAATAGAAACTAACATATAGCAATCGTCTCATCTGCTTTTGCCTACATCCACCTCTCAACAATAAAACATGTGTCTCCCTACAACCAGGAGAAGATAAATTAGATGAATGGGACCTTCTGAGAATCAGATCCCAGGAAGTTCTGATAGCCTAGTGACAAGAAGCTGCACTGCAATCCCAGAGGTATGCAGTTCAATTCCACCAGATGCTTTGCTGGAGAAGGAGGGGCATTCTCCTCCTGTACCAGTCAGATTCAATTTGACGGTACACACACAAAAAAAATAATGAAATGAAATAATAAAAAAAATCAAATCCCTGTGCACATCCAACAACTTTTCCAACAGGGTAAAAAGGGAAGCCACAGGCTGGAAAAAAGTATTTGGTAATGACATATCAGATAAGGGACTTATATCTAGAATTTATAAAATACTTGAGTACCACAACAAGATAAATGTAAATAATCCAGTTAAAAAATAGGCACAGGATATGAACAGACACTTCACCAAAGAAGACATTCAGATGGCTAACAAGCACATGAAGAAATGTTCAAAATCCCTAGCTCTAAGAGAGATGCAAATCCAAACAACTATGAGATATCATCTCACCCCAATCAGAATAGCAAAATTTAACAGAACAGCAAGCAACAAGTGCTGGTGAGGTTGTAGAGAGACTGGAACCCTTATTCACCATTGGTGGAAGTGTAAAATGGTGCAACCACTGTGGAAGGCGGTGTGGCGCTTTCTCAAAAAGTTGCAAATAGAGATCCATTTGACCCAGCAAAAGAATAACAAAAAGGAAAAAAAAACAAATCCCCCCATATGTCTCTGTAGTTATGTTCCACATGTTGCCAAAGCTTGATTTAATGAATTGCCGTGAAGTTGGAACCAGCTCATAGCTGACCCTCCTCTGGGCTTCTGAGCCTGGGAACTATGATGTAGCGGTGGATTGAAACTTCCGGAGAAGTGTGGCGATTTGCAGTGGAACTCCCCAGGGATGGGGACCCAGAAACCAGGGCTACCTACCAGGATATGGGGGCTCTTTAACTTTGTACTGTACCTTTGGTTTTCCATTCAACGATTAATGCACGTTTTGTTTTGTGATACTGATTGCACTCCCCACGCTCTCAGCAGCTCTTGTCCAGCTGCCGTCCGATGTTGTCTTCTTCTCTTGTCCTCTGAGTCTTTGTTCCTGGGCAAATGCTACCCTTTTGATTATATATGGTTGATTATTCTGAACTACTTTCTTCCATCATAATTTTCCATAAAAATATAAACAAATATTTAAGATCACACAAAATAAATCTATTTCCATTGTTAAGAAGATACATAAATAATGAGGAAGAATTCTTGAAATAACAATATTAAGGTAAATTTTGAAAGGGGAAAAACAGCAACCCCCCTCTTGGACATGAGGGCTACTTTTCATTTTTTTTTTCTCAATTTCATAATCTACTTTTCATTTTTATACTGTTTATTTATCATGTTGCCAAAAATCTATATATATTGGGGTTTTGGCATTTTTAGATACTCTGTGTTAATGTTTTGACTGATGCTATCAAATATTGATTCAAAAATAACAGTCTAGACAGCATGTATTAAAGTTATTAGGCTGTAGAGTTTTTTTGCTACTTCTCTCATTTCTATATCCAGTGGTGTTTTTTTTTTTATTTTGTTATGTACTCTTGAATTAGATCTGTCTGGCACAGGAGGAGATAACCTCTCCTTCTTCAGCACAGCATCTGGGGGATTTGAACTGTGTGCCTTTGGGATTATGGCGCAGCTTCTTGCCACTAGGCCACCAGAACTCCCTGCTTTTTTATTTTAATAATAACGTGATTTTACTGTAATGCACTGGAAGAATGCAGTATTGTGGAAATGTTGTGGAATAAAATGTCTGTTTTTCATATAGCCTTTGCTGCTGCTTATGAACAAACACACGCTCCTTTTGGAAGTATCATGTCATTCCGAGGTAATAGAGGGAGGGACAGCTTTACTTTTTGCACTCACTGTTGCATCTTCAATGACTAGAATAGTATCCATATAATTACTATTTATTAAGTAAATGAATGCCTGCATAAAGTGGTGTAGGAGGAAAGAAGGCATCTTGGGCTCCAGAAAGCATACTTCTGTTGTCCTCTAAATGATGCCTCCGGTAGAGAAGATATAACCCACGTAACACACCAGAACAAAAAAGAATAGAATTCCATATAACATAGCATGACACAAGAAAACAACCAATACATACAACACAACACCAAGGAATACAAAACCACCAGTAGAGCTCCAAGAAGTGAAAGCAAAGGGAAGAAATGAAGATGTTAAGGAGCTGAACAGAAGATTTCAAAGGGCAGCATGAGAAAACAAAGCAAAGTATTACAATGAAATACGCAAAGAGCTGGAGTTGGAAAATAAAAAGGGCTGAACTTGCTCAGCATTTTCTGAGCTGAAGGAACTAAAGAACAAATTTAAGCCTCCTGTTGCAATACCTACGGATGCTAGGGCAGAAGACTGTGAAATGACCCAGGAAGCATCAAAAGAAGATAGAAGGAGTATACAGAG